TCACTGCATTACCACTCAAAGATGAACAAAGGAGATGAAAGTAAAATAATTTTTTTCAGCTACTAGCCAATTGTATACATTCTTGAAAGGAAGAGGAAGTAGATTAAACTAACATAAACCTAAAATACTCTTACAGGGACTTCCCTGGTGGTCCAGTGGTTAAGACTTCACACTCCCAGAGCAGGGGGCTGGGGTTCAGTCCCTGGTCGGGGAACTAGATCCCGCGTGCCGCAACGAAGACCCGGTGCAGCCAAATAAATAAACAAAAAAATGTTAAAAAAAAAAATACTCTTAAATTTTGTTTATGGATAACTAAGAATTGGTCACGTTTTGTTGATTTCTAAAGCAGAAATCAGAAAAGAAATGTGAAAATAAAATGAATACAGATGAGGGAGATTAAGAGGTACAAACTTCGTTACAAAATAGATGAATCATGGGAATGAAGTGTACAGCAAGGGGAATGTAGTCAATAATACTGTAAAATCTTTGTATGGTGACAGATGGTAACTAGATTAATCATGGTGATTATTTTGTAATGCATAGAAATACCGAATCACTATATTGTGCACCAGGAACTAACCCAGTGTGGTAGGTCATTTATACTGCAACAAACAAACACACTCAGAAAAAGAGATCAGATTTGCTGTTACCAGAGCGGTGGGTGGGGGGAGGAAGAATTGAATGAAGGCAGTCAAAAGGTGCAAACTCCCAGTCATAAGATAAGTAACTACTAGAGATACACGGTAGAGTAGGATAAATAGCATTCATGCCACTGTATGTTACACGTGAGAGTTGTTAAGAGAGTAAAGCCTGAGTGCTCATCACAAGGAAAAATGGGTTTTCTGTTTCTTTAATTTTGTGTCTATATGAGATGATGGCTGTTCACTAAACATATTGAGGTCGTCATTTCATGATGTAAGTTAAATCATTATGCTGTACACCTTAAACTTATACAGTGCTGTATGTCAATTATATCTCAGTAAAACTGGAAGAAGAAAAAAAAATGAATATAGAGTAACTACCTTATGAACCATGGAAACGTAATGTAGGGAGAGAATACCCAAGGTAATGTAATTCAACTAAAACCCTACTGCATCTGAATGAAAAATCAGGAACTTGTTTCTCTTTAATTTTGAATCCTTATAATAAAGTAAAAGAACATCAATCTTCATATCATGTAGTAAAGCAAGATTTTATGTTGGTTGAGTGTGTCATGTTTGTTAATTAATTTGAACAAATGTAACCTGCAGGTGAAAATGCTTATAGGGACCTGGTGGGGTTATCTGAAGGAGTACAAAACAGTTGTTTAATAGTTCATATTGATTTAAAATACAGTTTATACATGAGTAGGGACAGAAAAGAGTAAGCCTTCTTTGGTTGATAAAAGAGGGAGACTTTGGTAATAAGAACACTAAATTTGTTTGAAAGAAATTAAAGATATGAATATTCATGAGAAGTATTTTTGGAGTGGGAGAGGAAAGGAGATAGCATTTTTAGAATGAGAGTATAAAGTAATACAATTTCCTGGAGAATTTATCTTAGATGAGTAGAGGGTGCCCACATTCATCCCCTACTGAGAAATTAGGAGAAGTAAGTAACTGAAAATCCTTCTGTTTCTTACAAGGAAAATGTAATGATGGTGACTTCTGAGAGTGAGGGTTGGGATTAGGTCACTTTAAAATGCTGCTCTGTGCATTTCTTTGTTCTTCCATTTTCTGTAAGCAAGTGTAATGTCTAAGAATCAGGAAGTCATTGACAGTAGGTGAAGAGTTAAATAGCTGATGTGTATCATGAACCCATTGTTGTTTTCAAATTTAAATGTTGGTCTCGTTTGACATATGTTAATATGGAAAAGTGTAAAAAACAAAAAAAAAACTTCCAGACTTTCATAGTTATTTTATCTCTGTTAGATTTACCTGTGATGTTTGTTTTCTTTTATGTGAGGCTTTGTAGAGTCTGAATATATTCTACCAACCAAGAAATATATTTTAGGAATAAAGAAATAAAGCATTCTGGGAATTATTTTTAAAATAAAATGTAATGATAAATGTTTTAGCTAGAGTAGTTTGTCCACTTCTTTTCTGTAATGCTTTTTAGGTTAATGAGAAGCTGCTCGATTATTCTATTTCATATATCATACATTTTCTTCCCCTGAAATGTTTGACGGCTCCAGCAAGAAGCAGCTGCTAATTTTAAGCAGGAAATCTAAACAGCTACCTTTCCAACAAACTCTGTAATAGGCGTCCCGCACAATTTAAAGAGCATAAGAATTTCAAAGAATAAGCAAGTTATTCTGTTTTATAGTCTATTTAGAAAAACAGAGCCATCAAATCCCAAAGGCCTAATCTCAGTTTTTATGTTGTAGTGTTACGTTCACACCCAGAATTATTTAAGTTCTGCCATCCTCAAAACCAACCATGGTTAAGCATTTTCTCTGTGCTAGGAAGCTGAATAGAATTTTCTTTCGGTTTTTATTTTTTTTGGAAGTACTTGGAAAAATCTCAAGGATGTTTTACATAAAATTTGTACAGAGGTCTTCTTTATTTACATTGTTATATCATCATTTTGTATGATAGAAAATAAAACAAAGCATATTTGATTAACCTTTTTCTCAAAGAGTAGAAGGAAAACTAACTTTAACCCATTTATGATTCAGGGGAATGTAATAGCCAGCGTTTTTTCAGAGAAACAATCAATAGGAGATACATATGAAGAGATTGTTAAGGCTTGGTGATTCCAAAATCTGCAGAAGGGGATGGCCGGCTGCAGACCCAGGAAAGCCAGGGATTCAGATGAAGTCCAAAGGCAGTCTGCTGGAGAATTCCCTCATGCTTGGGGAGGCTGGTCTTTTTGTTCTGTTCAGGCCTTCAGCTGATTGATTGGGGCCCACTCACATTATGGAGGGCAATCTACTTTACCCAGAGGTCATCAGTTTAAAAGTTAATCTCAGCCAAAACCAACCTCCAAGTTGGCACATTAACTATCATAGAGAATCTAGCCACGGCAATCACAGAAGAAAAAGAAATAAAAGGAATCCAAACTGGGAAAGAAGAAGTAAAATTGTCACCGTTTGCAGATGACATGATAAGCCAGGGATTCAGATGAAGTCCAAAGGCAGTCTGCTGGAGAATTCCCTCATGCTTGGGGAGGCTGGTCTTTTTGTTCTGTTCAGGCCTTCAGCTGATTGATTGGGGCCCACTCACATTATGGAGGGCAATCTACTTTACCCAGAGGTCATCAGTTTAAAAGTTAATCTCAGCCAAAACCAACCTCCAAGTTGGCACATTAACTATCATAGAGAATCTTTTAATATTGCTGAAATTTATATTTTCCTGCTGATTTGTTCTTCAGGACTGTCCTTAGACCTAAGGAGGGCCCTGCTTTGGGTCCTTCCTTTTAGAGGGTCCTGCTTTGGCCCTCATCCAATCACGTACCTCCTCACAGGGCAAGACCGAGGGACCAAAGTTGTGCATTCACCAGGAGCCCAAGCCCCCATTCTAGACCACCTTTTAGTTACTCAAGTCCCTGGAATTCCTTACCCAGATAGCTGCAAGCCTGTTTCCAGGGCCTACACGGGCATCTCCCCACAAGTGTACGCTCGTGACTGTGTGGACTCTGCTCACCATTACTTCTACAGTGGCCTGTGGGTGACTGTTAGGAGGCAGGGGATGCCTAGATGTGTGAGCTACCCTTGTGCAGGGGAGGCCCTCAACACAGAATGGAGCCTGGGGTAGCAGAAGCAGGGTGGGATGCAGGCCATGTGCCTCTTTTCCTTACTCTGCCATGTTCAGGCAGTCTCTAAGGTGTGCAGAATGCTAAACCAGAGCTTCCAAGTCAGTGCAAAGGTATATTTTTCAAGATGGTAGGATGCAACAGTTTTTATAGTCACTTGGTTAGCTTGATTTATAACCTTTAAATACTCAGGTGTATGATATATGGGTCTCCATTTGTACATTTGCCCCAGACCTCAAATATCAGAGGCAGATCTTTCCCACTAAGGCTGAGCAAATTCAGAGAATTAGAAGCTGATTATTAAATTTGAAATCTGAAAAGTGTGTTATAAAATCAGGGTGGTGGGGCTTCCCTGGTGGCGCAGTGGTTGAGAGTCCGCCTGCTGATGCAGGGGACATGGGTTCGTGCCCCGGTCCGGGAGGATCCCACATGCCGCGGAGCGGCTGTGCCCGTGAGCCATGGCCGCTGAGCCTGCGCTTCCGGAGCCTGTGCTCCGCAACGGGAGAAGCCACGACAGTGAGAGGCCCGCATACTGCAAAAAAATAAATAAATTAATTAATTAAATAAAATAAAATCAGGGTGGTGGTTGTACCTCAGGGAGAAGAGGTTATGATTGGGGAAGTGCCTGGCATGTTCCATCTCTCGACTTGGGTGTTGGTTACATAGATGCTTATTCTGGTTATTCTTGGGCTTTGTGCATTCTTCTCTGTGGAGAATGGATCTCTCTTTAAATTTTTTTTTTAAACCTTTAAAAATGTATTATTCTTAATTAGGAAAAAATCTTATATCTCAGAAAAGCTTTTCAATCTTGTCTACCACAGGTTATGTCTGTTCTAGGAATCTTGGCTCAGTCATCAAAATAGAAAAATTAATTTAAACACTTTAGAAGACAGCTAAATACATTATATAATGTCTCTGTGTGTGTGTACCTACGTACACGTGTGTGCATGTATCTATGAATATGTGGTTTGGATTTTTGTTCTCAAGGCCTCAGCCAAAGAAGCAAGTGAAAGAAAACCCCTCTCCTCTTTTCACATTCTCAGTAGTTCCCATGGGTTAATGACAGGAAATTTTTTCAAGAATGCTTTTTTTTCTTATTTGACTCTTAAGTCTGTGGTTTGTTTATCTGAAAGAACAGGCAATAACAATAAAAGGCAAAGAGGAGTATTCATTTTGTTCTATAATTTCATGTTAAAAGAAGACCATTCTGGATATAGTTTCCGCATCTAAATGTTCGTTATAACAGAGACTCTATTCTTATCTTTCAGGTGTCATTTTCACTGAATAAAGAAAGTAATGAAGAAGGTATGGTATATGCTGGTTCTTGAGGAGCTAGATATGTAAATGTATTCATTTACAGTAGTGGAGACCCCCCCCCAAAATACAATAAATTTAAAAATTATATAAAGTAAAGTACTTTTTTAGTCATTATAATTTTCAGATGAAATCAATTATTTCCTAATTTCAGAAAATAAGGAACACGTTTATTACTTTTAGGCTAGAAAGTGGTTTGATTGTGCAGTGACGGTTGAAGTACTGAGGTTCCAGCTAATAGTTCTGATAAATTTTAAGCCTCCAAATGCCTGCACTTAGGAGACTTTATTTATTACCTATCATCATTTTAATGAATCACTCATTTTAACTAAAGATCTTAAAATCAAAATTTATCGTAGGATTAAAAATAGCATTTCTTTTTAAAATTACCATTATTTGAAGCTGTTTTGAGAAACTAGTAAAAATGTTCTGGAGTAAAAATTTCAAAATACAAGCATGTGCACGTATCATTTGCCTTTTAAAATATTGCGAGGCTTTTTTGCCTTTTTGTTTTAATATGAAACTTTAGAAGAATATTCAATTAGCAAGTTTGGAGGAAAAATGAGAACTGTTTACTATGAATCGAGTTGTAAGATGTTTAGAAAGGAGCAAATGTATAGACATGATTTCGTGGGAAAGCAAACTATATTCCTTATATGGGAAACTAACAGATTGTTTCTTTGCAATACTATCCCATTTTGGGTATTTGACAGACAGTCAGATTTTACAGTACAGGGTTTTCCTAGACCTTTCATGCCGTAGCTAGGACACTAGCTTCAGTACTATTCAATAAAGACTAAAGTGACCCAGTAAGATGTAGGAAATAAAGTGGGAAGGCTCTAGAATATAAGGCCTTAGCCAAATGGATGAGAGTTTAAAGGTGAGTGGCTTGAAATACAGAAATGTGTCATACTAAGTTCTGATTGTTTATATCTGCCTAAATCTTTCCGAAAGGTCTAAATTAAATTTGTCTTATCCTCCTTTCCTCCCCCCGCTCCCTCTCCACCCCTTCCCTAACACCCTGCTTCCCCCATTTTTAAACACAGATCAAGTATGGCACTTCCTGGGCAAGTGAGGAGAACATTTGAAGTTCTGCCATCAGGATTCCAGTCTCTAAAATCTCCAAGACTCCATCTCCCCGAAGTGCTAGAAACAAGCAGATCTATGAGAATTTGCTAACTTCCTTTTCAGACTTCTTTTTTTTTTTCTCAAACTTTTTGAGATATGCAAAGTGTAAATAAACATTGAAATTTTTGAATTAGTCTCCTTTGGATATTTATTGATGTGAAAAGATGTTGTTGAATTTCATAGCAAAAATTTAGAAGCATTGAGTTTCACCAGTTCCAATTTACATGCCTGAAGGAACCCAATGATTTTATTAACTTTTTTTTTTTTTTTTTTTTTTTTTTTTTTTTTTTTTTTTTTTTTTTTTTTTGCTGTACGCGGGCCTCTCACTGTTGTGGCCTCTCCCGTTGCGGAGCACAGGCTCTGGACGCGCAGGTTCAGCGGCCATGGCTCACGGGCCCAGCCGCTCTGCGGCACGTGGGATCTTCCCGGACCGGGGCGTGAACCCGTGGCCCCTGCATTGGCAGGCGGACTCTCAACCACTGCGCCACCAGGGAAGCCCTATTAACTTTTATATCTGTGAGTTAATATAAAAATGATAAATTTAGTAAGTTAATAAGATTTTTATAGGTATTATTGCTCTCATTTTTATACCATATTATGTTTTTTGAGTCCATTGCTGGTGGAGGCTTCATTTAGCCAACCTTTGTCCTCTTAATAGTCCTGTGTAAATGTGTTTACATTTATTCAGGCTCTTTCCTACCATTTATTTTGTAGGTCCTAAACTCCATTTGATTCTCATCAGGTCCTCTTAGTTTTACTTCGCATCTCTATGGTGATCACTCCCAAGTCTACATAAGAAGCCCAGGTCTCTCTCCTGGGGTCTGTCTAGCGGACCTCTCTTTAAATGCCTTGGATTCCTCTTGTCCAGAACTGAACTCATTATCTTCCCTTTTTCTTGAACAGCGGAATTAACATTCTCTTAGTTCCCCTGTCAGACCCTTGAAACCATATTGAATCTCCCTTCTCCTCTCTTTACTCATGAAGGTCATCTAAATGTTTCTTTGCCCCCTCCATTCCTTTGCACACTTACTCTGCAGGTTTTCCCCCCTTATTTCTCCCAGACTCTTGTAACAGCCTCCTAGCTCTTCTCCATGCCTCCAGATCCATCCCTCTGCCTCGTTCCCTTTGCTCCAGCCCAATTTCATGCCCTCTTGCCTCCTAACCAAGTTGATATCCTACCTCTGGCTTTCCTTCCTGCACATCATCTTCCACATTTCCAAATAGTTACGTTCCTAAAGCATGGATAGTGCCTTGTTAGATTTTTCTCAAAATGCCTTCAATGGCTTTTCATATTCTTGAGAACAGAAATCGGGAATGCCATCTTTCAGCCATATCATGTTACCCCTTCTCCAAGCACATCCTGTGTTTTTCACATTCCCAGTACTGTGCTTCTGTGGCCAGTTCTGTTCGTATTTTTTTCTCCCCTTTTCTTTCTATTATCATTATGAACACATGGCTTTTACATAATATGTTTTGTGGTTCACAAAGCACTGCTATAATAGCGTTTCTTGAGCGTCTATTGCATGTTGGGCAGTGTTTTAGACGTCGTGCACGCATATACCCTATAAGGTATATGCCATGTTGAGGCTCCGAGAAGTTTAATAACTTGCCAGAGGTCACAGAGATAGTAAGTTTCAGAGCCAGAATTAGGACTCATGACTACATGGCTCTAAATGCTATGGTTTTTTTCACCCTGCTATGCATGCTGCTTCCCTCCTACAGCCACCTTGTGATGTGGGCAAAGCTCAGAGCATGCCTATTTTACAGATGAGGAAACAGACACAGAGTTTGTCATTAGCCCAAGTGAAATAGTAATGTTCACTTGAGATGTCTTTGGGAATGTGTGAACCTCTTTGAGGGACATGAAAGAATGTAAGGAGAGAATCTATTTTTAATTTTATATATTGATAGCTTAAGCTGTGAAAATAATAAAACTTATAGCAAGGTATAAAATAGAGAATAGCTATTATTTCAATTCCGTTGGCCCTTGAACAACGTGGGTTTGAACTGTGTGGGTCCATTTATATGCAGGCTTTTGTCAATGATAAATACTGCAGCACTGCACGATCTGCTCTGCTACTTGGTTTAATGCGTGGATGCGAACCACAGGTACGGAGGAACTGCATATACAGAGGACGAACTGTAAGTCATACACAAATTTTTGACTTTGGGGAGGGTCTGCACTAAACAATAAGCAAATTATCAAAGGATGGCTTAACGGTTTATGGCATGTGGCATATTCATCTTCTGTGAGTTGGAGAAGAAGCCATGCCTGGTGGGCCTCGTGTGGGGTAACTCGCACCTCGTAGATGGCTCCCCTCCTCCTAGTGGCCAGTGATACTTAGATGCTACCTAGTTAGTGAGCCTTGCTCACTACGGTACAGTTAGTCACAGTTGTCTTCATAGTATATGATTTTACATAGTTATAATCTTAAATACATCATTTTGAATTTTAACTCATTATTATAAGCATCTTTCTACATTGCTACGTAGTCATCAGTATTATTATGGTGACAGTTGTATTTCAGGGCTTCCCTGGTGGCTCAGTGGTTGAGAGTCTGCCTGCCGATGCAGGGGACGCGGGTTCGTGCCCCGGTCCGGGGAGATCCCACATGCCGCGGAGTGGCTGGGCCCGTGAGCCGTGGTCGCTGAGCCTGCGCGTCCGGAGCTTGTGCTCCGCAACGGGAGAGGCCACAGCAGTGAGAGGAGGCCCGCATATCGCAAAACAAAAACAAAAAAAATTATATTTCAGCATCTATTTCATAATTGTTTCAGAATGTCTTCCAGACTAGCTAATCTGATCTTTGCTAACTCATTCCCATGGAACAATTAACTTGAACACATACTTACAAAGGAAAAATCCTGCGAAAGAATTAAAATGAATCTTTGTTAAAAATCGCCTAAAACAAATTAGGAAACCGAAAGTGATCCATGGATGGGATTTTAGGTAACACCCACAGCTAGGTCCCATGAATATGAAAAATCAAAGGGGTAGACTGTCCAAGATTTATTTTTTCTCAAATGTCCTGTCTGAAATTTTTGTGAGCTTTTCTTTATTTTTCACATACAGACCAAATCATTTCTTACATGATACATTTAGTATCACTCCGTTGTTCTGCAGAAGAAACACACTGAATTTCATAAAATGCAGTTCTCCATCAAGGACTACATGCATTTTTAGCAGTTTGTGTACTCACTAATAGCAACATTTGATGATTTATTCCCAGGAGGGGGTTCACTGCCTTGTCATGACTAAAGGTGTTTCTTGTGACTGCTGATTAATCTTTATTACTTATTGCTTTATTATACAGTGGGTCACATCTTTAAGTTCTGGGTCAGGTATGTTCTTTTCATCCTTCTTTCTATATTCTGTCCAAGGTGATATCAGTGTTTGCCGGTGGGGTCTATGAAACACCTGCTCCAGAATCACTTAGAATGCTTCTTAAAATACAGATTTCTGGCTTTCCCTAAAATCTACTAAATCAGAATTTCCGGGGTTGGGGCCATAAACTTGTTTTCCTCCCACCCCCATAAAGTTTGAAACCCATTGGTTTAGATAGTTGAGGGGTAGATCATATTGAGAATTTCTTCATGTTAATATTCTGTTTGAGGTTATCTTCCCCCTTAGAAGAAAGAAAACCAGATGTCTGCCTTTGTAGTGGACTTTTATATAATATTATCACTACTTCCTGTTAGAAAAGAAAATGAAAGGCAATAAAAGTTATATGGGGGCTTCCCTGGTGGTGCAGTGATTGAGAGTCCGCCTGCCGCTGCAGGGGACGCGGGTTCGTGCCCCGGTCTGGGACCATTTGCCGCGGAGCGGCTGGGCCCGTGAGCCATGGCCGCTGAGCCTGCGCGTCCGGAGCTCTGCGCGTCCGGAGCCTGTGCTCCGCAACGGGAGAGGCCACAACAGTGAGAGGCCCGCGTACCGCAAAAAAAAAAAAAAAAAAAAGTTATATGAAGTTTAGTGTTAAATATTAAAAGTGTTCTTCTGCACTTCAAATCAGAGAAAAATTTACACCTGATGAGAATCACTTGTGATTTCTAAGTTATGAAACTTACTAGGTAAAGTGAGCCCATAATAATTGGTCACCCCCGCAGACCTACCCCTGGCTTCTGTCTTCCTAAGGCACCTTGAGAGAGAAGTGGCTGCTTCTCACGCGACAGCCTCGAGGTGTCGAAACAATGAAGAGATGGCTGTACTCCGACGGGGTGGGGAAGACAGCAGTGGCAGCAGAAGATGGAAGAGCTCTGAGGATCGTGTGAGCCCTTGTCACGCACAGGCCAGGGTCTCTGTGGCTGACCTGACATTTACCCTACTTAGATCACCTGTTGGGAGCAAACTCCACTTCTCAGGTCATTCCCCACCTTAAAAGGAACCAGGAACCCAGTGCAGCCAGGACAGAGGCATAAGCTCTTCTTTCCTTCAGTCAAAAAATATTTATTGAGCTCCCTTATGTCAGGCCGAACAATGCAGCTGTCAGTCCTTTCCTGAAGACCGAGACTCTCGAGGTATTCCTGGTACCCCAAGAGGGAAGCTGCCAGTGCTTCATCTTCTCTGTTCAGATTCCCCAGTGCAGAAAGGGCTCTTTCCCCTTTTTTAACGTACCTGGTTGCAAAGGGTTGAATCACGCAGAAAGATTAAGAGGTTTGATTACATCAGTCTAGAATGCATTCCATTACCATGATTTTAATGAGCCAACCCTCTGTTTTTAGACATGCTTCCTCCTTTTTGCTATTTTAAACTTCATTCATTCAACAGTTATTTACTGACTGCCTGTGTGTAAGTGCCAGGTACTAGTCCAAGTTTTTAGGATACATCAGTGCAAAACTGACAAAAATCCCTGCCCTTGTGGACCTCGTATTTTGTGTGGGGAAGACAGATCATAGACATTGTAAGTAATTTCTATAGTACGTAGGAGAGAAAGCAGGGAAAGGGGAAATCAATCCCGCTTTTATTCAGAGGTAGGAATGTGAATTGGAGTTTTAAACTGAGCAGGTCAAGACAGGCCTCTTGGGAAGATGACACCTGGGCAAAAAGTTGAGAGAAGCAGAGTGGGACCTCGTGGGTCTCTGGGGGAACAGAACTGAGGCAAAGGAGATACTCAGAATAAAGGTCCTAAGGTAGGA